GCAGTACTCACAGGCTCCACAGGTTGGCCTGCTCCCACTATACCTCTTGCTCAGGAGGACCTCTGGGCCATGTAGGCCACAGAGCTGCAAAAGGTGCTCGGCAGGGAGTTCTTGAGCCCTGTGCAGTTGGGGAAACCCAAATCTGCGTAAGACATGCAGGGAGGCAGCAGTGAGTAAGGGCAGCGGTCTCAGGGCAGGGGCTCAGGAGGGTGTGGGTCTGAAGGGGTGGCTGTGGGGCATCGGGGTGCTGTGTGTGGGGCTAGGGGCTCACCAGTCAGCTTTAGAAAGCCTCACTCATCCAGCAGGATGTGCTCACACTTCAGGTCCCTGCGTGGGAAAGGGGAGGTGGGACTGGCCTGGGCTCAAGTGGGCCTCTTCATGCATGTGGGTGGGCCAGGTGGCACCCTCACTGGTACACAATACCAGCGCTGTGGCAGTGGGCCACGACACTGACCAGCTGCCAGAAGCCTGTGGGTCTTCTCCTCCAGCCCTGGGCAGCAGTGGTGGTCCCATACAGTGTTGATGTGCTTCAGTAGGTTGCCTGCAGCCACCAGTTGCAGCACCAGGTAGGAGTGCTGGCTGCTATGATAGGTCTTGTACAGCTGCACCTGCTGACCCGCCCACCTACCATCACCTTGAGGAGGGTCCCAGGGTGTGCTGGGACTGCTGGGCTCTTGGGGTGGGGTTGGGTCCCAGCCTAAGGGCCAAAGGGAGGTCCCTTGGTAGAAGGCTAGCCTTGGGGGATAGGAAGGGGTGAGGACAGGCTGTGTTGAGGCTGCAACCTACCACATTTGGGTGCTTTCAGGTAGTGTTGAGTGAAGAGAACTCACAGGGCAGGAACTTGCAGGACAACTCCATGAGGCCTTGGCTGTGGAGATGATCTTGATAGCCACCTGTGTGGGTGGAAGGTGCCAGTGTGTGCAGGCACAGCCCCCTGTCCTTTGTACTTATTCCTGAGCTCCCCCACCCTCCTGTCCCAAGCACTTAAGGGGTTTGGGAACTGGAAGTGGGACCAAAGAAGCCCATGGTGGAGGCAGAGGGGGCAGCTGGAAAGTACCTGAGTGGGTTTAGGACAGGGAGGGTCCTGTGGGGCCAGGCTGGGGGCACTGGAACCCACTAGGAGGAGGAAGGAGGCAGCTGCCTCACCATGGTGTGGCGCTTGCCCTGCAAGTCCCAGGACAGCTTGGGGTTGTGCTGCATGCACTTGTGTATGGCATAGGCCAGGTAGACCTTGGAGAAGGCCCCGGAGCTGATCTTGGAGGAAAGCAGGTACCTGTTATCCTTGCACTCACACACCTGTTCCATGAAGGTTGGGTGTCAGGAGGCAGGCGCTGGGGAAAAAGAGGCAAATTCTAGAATGGGGATTCTAGTGCTATACCTGCATTGTGCTCTCAAAGGGGGGTCCTCTTGTGCCCCAGGACCTGCCCACTCCGATGTCTGAGGACATTTTTCAGGACCAGTCCTGTCCTGCATGGGGCCCACTCTCCATGGGATGAGAACCTCCTGCAAGGGCTGCAGCCAGGATGAGCCCTCTGAGGACCACTCAGGATGTGGCTAGAACACAAAAGGCCTTGAAAGAAACTGAGGAGGGGGCAGGGGGCAAAGGCAGAAGGCCAGCTTGCTAAGCCATTAGGAAGGGGAAAAGGGATATAGTACTTGTCAGCCACTGTTGCAACTGTACCCCTCATCCTCGGATAGAGTGCCCAGGCCTCTACTAGAGGCTTGGCCAGGAGGGCAGGGAGCCTCCCACCTTCTGGCCTCCCGCAGTAGAGCCTGAAGCTTCTCCTGCCCAGGCCGGGCCTACTGCAGGGAGCCTCCCACCTGGAGTTCTCTGTAGACTCCATCACAAACCACAGGGCAAGCAAGGGCCCCAGGCCTGGGCCCACCTCAGATCCTACAGCTCCAAGAGACAGAAGCCAACAGTGCCCTTCTCTTCTCTGGCCCTCAGAGTCCTCTGAGAACACTGTTGCTGCCAGGAGTAGGGGCTAACATCGACTGAGCACTGACTGTGTGCCAGGTGCCATTCTAAGCAGTCACACTAGCTACAACTCCCACCTGTAGCAGTCCTACTCCTGTTCATAGAACACACTGAGGTACCCATCCCATGTGGGGCATTCACATCCAGGTTTCAAGTCTGAGCAATACTGTTTTACAGATGATGAAATTGAGGCCAAGTGGTGGCAGAGCCCAGGCCCAAATGTGTAGTCTCTGCTGTGAGCTGGACAGCACAGTAGCTGTGGGCCTGGAGGGTGGGACTGTCTAATGGGCAGCTGTCCTGGGAGTGTCTACAAGGGCCTGGAGCTTGGTAAAGGCCCAGTGAGTGTCTGGGGACTTAGATTCTTCTCTGCTGAGATCCAGGGGCAGATGTGGTGTGCTCGTTGTAGTGAAGGCCTCAGAATAGGATGGCTTCAACTGGCAAGACCATTTTCTCATCCCTCTTGACTGTGGGTTTCTTGAGAGCAAGGCTTTGTTTGATATTCCCTTCTCACCCACAGCCCTTGTCTGGCAAATTGCCTGGAATATGGAAAATAAGAACAAACTAACTGGTTTGTGGCTGACCTGGGAGTTAGGAAAAGAGAAACTGCTCCAGGTAATTCAAGCAGAGGGGGGTTAACTTGGCATTGGTTCTGCAAGCATTAGAAGGGCTGGAGAAGCACAAGGCACAAGATGAAGCCCGTTGAAGGTGGGTGGCTGCAAGGAGCTGTCTCTAGAGCTGGAGCCACGTGATCCTAGCCATGGGGGCTGTGTCACTAAAGTACTGCTGCCAAGGCTGGGAGCCCATATCCCCAGCTGTACCCCTTCTCTCCCTCCCAGCTCCCACCAGGGCGAGAACCCAGCTGGAAGCCAGAGAGTGTTAGACTGAGTGATGAAAGGTGGGATCTGAGTGGTCATTGACTCTGTCCACCCTCCCTCTGCAGAGTTTTTTTTTTTTTTTTTTAATCTCTTCTCTTGTTTTTGGATGCAGAGTCTTGATTATTCTCTTCTTTGTGGCCCGTAATTCATCCAAGAAGCTGAACTGGGCAACCACCTTGTGCCAAGCTCTTGGGAGCAAAACAGATCTAGGCCTTTCTCTCAGAGTTTACTGCTTCGGCAGAGAGATTGGCATTAATAATGTAATAAAAGAAAAATAAAATTGTGATGTTGAGCAACTTGTATGTCTGGTGAAGAGATGGCTACTGTGGCTGGAAGTCCAGCTGAGGCTGGGAGGAGGACAGGGCATTAGCCCAGGAGAGCCACCACATGAGTCGTGCAGGTGTGAGCTGGGAAGAGGCCTCTCCTGCTTCCCTGGCAACTTGCCCTGTTAGTAGTTCCTGTCTGCTGGGGCTGGGGCAACTTCCTGGCAGTGTTACTGGGCCAGGCCCCCATCTGCAGAAAGTCCCATTCTGTGTCCTGCCCCTCTTGGGCTCCACCTCTGCAACAGAGAGACAGGCTCAAGTCGCTCTCTGTGGAAGACGAGCATCCTCCCCTGCACCACCCTGCTACCACCGCCCCAGCGCTCCCAGGACCTCCTGCAGCTGGATTTCCACATCTAACCGATCGACACTGCCCTGGAGGCAGCGCTGCAAACCACTTCGTGAACACCATCCTTTCTGTTCGATGTGCACACATCCAGGTGGTTTCCGCCTTCCAGCCGGGTCCTTCCCAGAATCTCCCGTGAGCTTTAATTTGTCTTATTAGCCATTTACTTTTTACCTGCCTCGCTCCAGATTCTAAGGTCCTGGGTGCGGGGCCTGGTTGCCTAGGTGCCCGTGGTCTGTCAGTAGACTGGACGTGCACCTGCCGCACGCGTGCGTGTGCTTGCGCCAAGGGGTCCGCGCCCCAGCTCTCTGGGGTGTCTGTTGGGTGTTCAGTGTGCGTGCGTGAGAGATAGGACACTACGATACGCCGGTGTGTGCCCAGGTTAGGCGTACCTGACGTGTGCCCCTGGACAGGTTTGGGTTGGCGAGTGCACCCGCTTGCTCCGTGCGCTTTGGGGTGTGACGACGCACGAGCTAACGTCCCCCGGGAATGGGGGCGGAGTCTGGGTGCGGGGATCGCAGGGGCGCGTGCGTCTGAAGCGGAAGCTGAGCTGGGGCCGGCGCCTGCGCAGTGGCCCGCCGCGCTCGTCCCCAACAGCCAGGTGCGGTGGCCGAGCGGCGGCCAGGGGCGGGGCCGAGCGTAAGGCGGAGTCTGCGCACTCCTGCTCGCTTGGGAACGGTGGGCGGGTGGAGTGAGCGAGAGGAACACGCCTGCGACCAATGAGCGCAGAGATCTCGTAGGGGCGTAGCCTGATTGCCGCTCGCGGGGTCGCGGTAGGCCTGAGGGCAGCGGGGCGGGCTCAGCGCACGCGGCTCCGCCCACTCCGGGCCGCGGGCGGCTGTGGCGGCAGTGGCTGTGAGTTCCTCAGGTAAACGGCGGGCGGTGACGCGCTTTTGGGAGCGCCCTGGGGGGAAACCTGGGCGAGAGGGCCTAGGGGCCGTCCCCTTGGCCGGGCCGCGCGGGAAGCCGAGTCAGGGGGCGCCTCCCAAGGTCGCCGGGCGAGCGCCGGGATGGTCCTGGGCGTCGCGGGGGCCGACGCCCGCCCCCTTTCCAGCTGAGGCGCCCTGGAGCCAGCTGCGCTGCGTCACGACCCGGAAGGGAGACCCAGAGCTTTGCGGTTCGCATTCCTCCTCGGCGCCCTTGCGTGTTCCCCTGGCCCGTGCTTGCCTCCTCTTGCCCGGGGAGCGCGGTGGTCCCGGTCTGGTGCCTGTCTTCTCCTCCCCAGGGGGCGCGGTGATCCCGAACCCGTGCCTGTCCCCTCCCCGCCAGGGGAGCGCGGTGGTCCGGGCTGTGCCTGACCACCCCAACCAGGGAGAGCGGTGGTCCCAGCCTGTGCCTGACCCCCCGGAGAGCGCGGTGGTCCCACCCGACCACCAGGCATCCTCTCTGGGAATCTAAGCCTAAACCCTGAGAGTTCTAAGCCGGTGTGCACCAGGGCCACTGAATTTCTGTATTCTCTTTGACATTTAAAGGAGGCTGTCGAGAGCAGGAAGGTGATTTGTCCAGAGTCACGCGGATTACTGGTCAGAGCGTGTGTCATAAAGTTGGAAGGGCCTGGGAGTCCCGCCTCTAGTCAAGGTGAGACCTAGGTGGCGCTCAGCAGGGGCGGCCCGCTGATGTGGGTTCGAGTTTTCCTGCGGTGTTTGTGCAGCTGCAGTGTAGTGTTGGGGTCAGAGGAGGCTGCTCTGGGGACATAGGGGGCTCGTTCTACACGCTTTACAGAGGTTCCCTTTGCCGGCTCAGGTGGGGAGGGGACAGACCCATAAACTCAAGTGCAGTGAGATAAGCACAGGGGTAAGCTAGGGGGCAGGGGACCCGTGTGGGGAGCAGGAGCAGTGGCTGGGCCTGGGGAGGTAAGCTGGAGTGGCGGTTGGTGGGGGCAGCTGGTGGCTGGGTGGGGGCTGACATTGAGGGGACGGTCTGGTCCCCAGACACCACTGTACAGGGGATGGTGGTAAATGAGTGGGCTGTAGGGTGTGGGAGGGAGATGCTGATTGCTAACCCAGATAGCCGAATGCAAGTGAGGCTGGGGCTGGTGGCAGGTCAGGGGTGAAGATGGTGAGTTGAGTTTTAGAGCTGTTGGGTTTGAGTGGCGATGACCATCTGAATGAAGATGCTGGGGAGGCCAGGGCTGGAGACACCTGGGAATCATTGTTTTTGGGATATTTTATCTGTGGCATATGTTTGTGACATGGTTGCATGTATGATCCGGGTGCCCTGTGGGCCTGGTGATGCTGTGTCATCAGGATCTTATTCTTAGGCCTCAGGCTGTCATGGCCCATGTAAGCAGGTGTTTCCAAGTCTCTCTGTAGTGTCAGAGTGGAATGACCCGAGTTTAAGCTGTCTTTGTTAGCTCAAAACTGATGTCCAGCTGCTGTGGCTTGTTCAGACCTGCATCTTGGTATTTCTCGTTCTCCTTAGAGCTGATTGCTGCCTGCTAAGGGACGTCAATGTGTTAGAGGTGGAACCTGTGGGGCATCTGCTTGCTCCAGTTTGTGATTGTCCCAGGTGTCAGAAAACAGGTGTCTGTGCTTAGTTTTCTTTCCCAGGGTCCACAGAGGCCCTTGGGTGAGAAGCAAGATTGCTGCTGTCTGTGATCAGCGCCCTGCCTCGAAACCCCCTTTCACTGAGCTGAGTTACTCTGTGGCAGCTCACACAGCTTGATCAGGTGGGAGCACCAGGCAAGCTCCTGGCCAGTGCTCAGAGAATACTGACTGCTGGATGTCGCAGGAAACGTACTTTCTTCACGGAGCTGGAGGGGCCACCTGGCTTAGGGGGTTTGCATGTTCACCCAGTGACATAGCTTGGCGTGGCTCATGTTGGGAAATTATGTTCTCAGTGGATCATGAGCAGTGAGCTGCAGAGCTGCATGTCTCTGGGTCAGCAGCCCAGGTTCTTGTTGGTGACTCAGGAAGTTGATTTTGTGGCTCCTGTGCTATGAGGCAAAATCCCTTAGACCCGGTGCATGGGTGGGGCATTCCATGACCTTCCAGTCTCCCTGCACACACCCGACCCAGCAGGCTGGCTCATCACTTCTGGGTGCTGCACGTTCGACCAGCACAATTCCCACCCCCCCATCTAACCCCCTTCAGACTCAGTGCACGTGGCCCAGCACCTGTGTCATGCCCTAATGTGTGGCAGCTGTAATACTTGTGCGCATCTTTTTGTGGCCGGAGAGAGCCTCCAAGCCAGGGATTCTGTGGGCCTAGGGCAGTGGCCAGCAGTTGTTTACTAAATGTGGTTGAATGAAGAGGAAGCAGTGTCTTCATTCACACAAAAATGTGTACTGTGTAGGGAGAGAAAACCCTATCAGCCCTATCTGCCACCTTCTTCCATTAGGTTTTTGTTTTGTTTTGTTTTGTTTTGTTGAGACAGAGTCTCACTCTTTTGCCCGGGCTAGAGTGAGTGCCATGGCGTCAGCCTAGCTCATAGCAACCTCAAACTCGGGGGCTCAAGCGATCCTACTGCCTCAGCCTCCCGAGTAGCTGGGACTACAGGCATGCGCCACCATGCCTGGCTAATTTTTTCTATATATTTTTAGTTGTCCAATTAATTTCTTTCTAATTTTAGTAGAGACGGGGTCTCGCTCTTGCTCAGGCTGGTTTTGAACTCCTGAGCTCAAACAATCCGCCCGCCTCAGCCTCCCAGAGAGCTAGGATTACAGGCGTGAGCCACCGCGCCCGGCCGGTAATGTAGCCTTTTGATACAATTTAACATAATATAGGCCAAATCCCCCTTCTTTTCATATATTTTTCAAAATTTAATTGGCTATTCTTATTTGTTCATCATTCCCTATGAACTTTGAAGCAATTCATCAAGCACCCTCCAGTATCCTGATTTATGTATTTATAGATTATAGAAAATTGACAGTTTTGTAATATTGAGTCTTACAGGAGGATTTTGATTCTATTCCTTCAATGAACAGTTTAATTCTGTGCATACTAAGGACACAAACCAAAACCTTTCTGCCTGCTCACTGTATGGAGAAGATAGACTGGAACATACAGCTGTTAACATTTTGTGCTGATCCCATATTAATCACATGAACAAAGGGCTGCAGGAATATTCAGTTTCTTGTTGGAACGTTGGTATGTTCTGTGTGACTGGAATGGGCCCTGGAGGGGTGTGTAGAAGTCCGGTGGTGGAGAGGGCAGGGCAGGGGCTGGTGTGGGACAAGCCAAGACAAAGGTTCTAGGGCTGAAGCCACAGGCTGTGAGGTGGGCTGAGAAACAGCAGCTCATGACAGCCCCTGTGGAAGGCTGAGGTATGATTCTCGGCAGGCTGGTCAGCCGTGATGTGATCTGGCCTGCTCCTGACAAAGGTTAGCTACTCTGAGCATGGAGGAGGGCTCGAGTGGCTGGCAGGGCTTGGGGTGGGGGTGCCTATTGCTGAGGGGTGAGCCTTAGTTGCATTAACCTATAGTGGTGTATTCAAAGAGCAGAAGTTCTCATTTTGACAAATTTCAGTTTATCAAATTTTTCTTTTATAGATTCTGCTTTGGTATCAGTCATGAAGATTTTCTTCTGTGTTTAGTAGTTGTTTTTTTTTTTTTTTTCCGAGGCACAGTTTCACTCCGTTGCCCAGGCTGGAGTGCTGTGGCCATTCACAGGTGCAATCACAGCTCACTGCAGCCTCGAACTCCTGGGCTCAAGGGATTCTCCTGCCTCAGCCTCCTGAGTAGCTGGCACTAAAGGCCGGCATGACTTTTTGAATTTTCAGTTGTTCATTGTCAGTATGTAGAAATACAGTTGATTTTTTTTTTTAACATTGACTTGATTGGCTCTGTCATAAACTCTATGAAGTCACACACATCTGAACACAGTTTTCTCTAGCAGAAATTTGTCATTTTGGGCTTAATGGTTTTCACAGCCTTTTCTGCCACACAGATGGCATCTCCAATGGTACAATCCGTCCAGACTTTCATGATATTCTGTCTGTCGGGGTTCTCTTCCATAGCATTGACAATCCTTTCCATAGAGTACCATGTGTAATGAGCCTTAAAGGTCCTTAGAACCTCTTGACCTAGAGGCTGAATTAGAGACGTATTTGGAGGCAAGTAGACCACTTCGATGCCTTCAGTGTTGAACTCATGGCATTGTCCCATATTAAAAGAATTTTAAAAGACAGTCCCTTATTGGCAAGATACTTCCTGACTTTGGGGGCAAAGCATTAATGGAATTAATCCAGAAAAAGGGTTCTTGTTGTCTAGGCCTTCTTGTCGTACAACCAAAAGACTGGCAGCTGGTGTTTATCTTTTCCCTTCAAAGGTCAGGGGTTAGCAGCTTTATAGATAAGGGCAGTCCTGATCATAAGCCAACTGCATTTGCACAAAATAGTTAGCCGTCCCTTCCTGCCTGAAATCCTGGCGTTTGCTTCTCTTCTTAACAAATGTCCTTTGTAGTATTTTTTTCAAGAATAGGGTACCTTCCTCTGCATTAAAAACCTGTTCAGGCAGATGTTCTTTCTCATCAGTGATTTCTTTAATGGTGCCTGGTGTCTTGGAACTTGTCTGCTGCCTCCTGTTTGACAAAATCTGCTTCTCTTGTTATCTTGACATTTTTTTCAAGTCAAACTTCTTTCTAAAATTATCAAACCATCCTTTACTAGCATTAAATTCTCCAGTTTTAGATCCTTCACATTCCTTTTGCTTTAAGTTGTCATATGATGACTTCACCTTTTTTCAAATCACGTTAGAGTGTGTAGGTATACCTTTCTTATACCAACCCTGCACCCATATAAAAGCTGTATTTTCAATATTAGATAAAAAGGGCCAGGTGGGATGGCTCACGCCTGTAATCGTTGCACTCTGGGAGGCTGAGGCAGGAGGATTGCTTGAGGTCGGGAGTTCAAGATCAGCCTGAGCAAGAGTGAGACCCCATCTCTCCTAAAAATAGAAAAAATTAGCTGGGCATGATGATGTGTGCCTGTCGTCCCAGCTACTTGGGAGGTTGAGGCAGGAGAATCACTTGAGCTCAGGAGTTTGAGGTTGCTGTGAGCTAGGCTAATGTCACAGCATTCTAGCCCGGGCAACAGAGTGAGACTCTGTCTCAAAAAAAAAAAAAAAAGATATTTAGCAGAAAGTGAAAAGTTTTTGTGCCTGGTGACTTAGCTGTAGTGATGGCTTCACAATTTTTTTTTTACAATGATCCTTACATTGGATTCATTTATCTTTTTTAGGTGTGCAGCTGCAGACCTCAATCTACAGTACATATCAAGCAATTCAACTGTTCTTTGTGGCTATATAATGTTGCATTGTGTATATGCACCATAATTTTTTTTTTCTTATGACACGGTCTCACTCTGTCATCCAGGCTATTAGAGTGCA